TAAGAAAAAGAGAAACCTAAAAAAATCCCTTAAGGCCTATAAAATCATTCTATAATTGTAAGTAATCATACTTGGTGAAGATTAAGTAAACATGGACAAAATGTGGAATTTAAAGAACTTAGCCACATGTCCAGTTCAGAGCTACCTGAAGTTCTGCATGAACTGTGAGAACGCTTCAGTCCTTTCAGCCAGCGGCACAATGATATTAATAACTGATCTCGCAATGTCAATCATCTCATTCTTCACTTTCATGAGCGGTCCAAAAGGGCGGAAGAGGGTCACATGTCTGTACTCCATAAGGTCTGCTTTCTTAAAAAAGAGCTCATACTGTGTGCCTTTATCTCTCTCAGTGCGATAATAGCCTAAAGAAAAGAGTTTGCAACAAAACAAGTTATGTCAAAGTTTAAATTCAGCAGGAACACAGACTTCACCCGGACAAGGATTGAGAATATTACACCGGACTGTAGCGACTTTATCTATTTGTGAAAACACCTCCTCCTACGTACAGCCAGAAACAACTACTCTTGGGAAGAAAAGGTTTACAAAAGAAGTTTTTTTTTTTTTTTTTTTTTTTTTTTTTTTTTTTTTTTTTTACTGTGGTACATTATTCAATCCACAAAATAACATCCAATAGTAATTATTCCTTTTTACACACGACTTTTTCCCCTTAATACCCCCTACTGTCATAGTGCCAACAAATTACTTTTGCATTATTAAAGTCTGAGCCCAAGAGTCAAAACTTTTATTAGTTGGTTCAACTCAACAAACATGAATCAAGTACCTTTGTGTTAGTCATTGACGATATAGAGACCATGTGGTCTCAGTATGAGAAGGGTCAGTCTAGTGAGGAAGACAGAAAAATAAACAGTGACAATATACTGTGTAATACGTGTATGTGTATGCATATATGTATATGCATATGTATATATACACATGCGTATACATATAAACATATATACATACATATACATATATAAAAGTCAGACAAAGAACTATCAGTATAGATTTCAATACAATGCATGAGGTATGTTTAGGAAGACAGTATGAAGACTGACTGTGTAATATGAGTTTGAAGTGTAACACTCAGGAGGAAAAAGGTTAGACTTACCCCAACCCTCCTAAGGCTTACAGTCTAAAAAGAACAACCAACCAGGATATGGGCAACATCACATAATGCAGCAAGTCCTGTGACAGAGGATGCATTATAGAGGTGACAAGAACACACAGAAAGCATCACTATTTTAAGCTTGAGGTTAGAGGCCATTTCCTGGAAGGAATGACATTTATACCAAGGCCTGGAAGAGGAACAGAAGTTGTTTAGTGGTCGCCAGTAATTCGTTTAGGAGAGAGACAGCCATGGCACAGCAGAGAAAAAGTAAAAGACAGACTATATTTCAGGCAAAGAAAAGTCCTTAAAGTGACAGGAGCTAAGGAAAACTATAAGCAGAAGGGGCAGAACATACAACTGTCATAGTGCAGAGTGAGTATGAGACGGTCATATGCTACTCAACTATCCTACTTTCTCTTCAGCTTTCAAGTCTACTGCAAATACAAAAAAAAAAAAAAAAAAACTAAGCTTTCCAGAAAGTTGGAAGAATTTTAAGAAAAACAACTAGTAAAAAAATTACAGCAGGAAAAAAGAGGAGGCCATATGAAGATGGTAGCTAAAATGTCCCAGCAAAGCACAATGCCTTGCCTGATAGACGTCAAGAGCCATACAAGTGACAGACATGAAGATCCGGAGTCAAACAGAATGCTTTTTATGGGGTAGGATGTTTATAGAATAAAGAAAAAAAGTACTTTTGAAAACACTTATATCCAAAGTGTTCTTTGCAGTTAAATATTTAGCAGTGAGCATTAATATGGACACAGGTAAGACTGTACAATTATATGTTTTTAGAGCAATTAACAAATATCTAAGATTTTCATGACCTTTACGTTTTATACCATCTTTTAAAACATATCTTGGGCTAGAGAGATAGCTCAGAGGTTAAGAGACCTGGCTGCTCTCCTAGAGGGCCTGAGTTTGATTCCTAGCACTCATATGGTAGATAACTGTAACTGCGGTCCCAAGGGATTTGGCCTTCTGGTCTCTGTAAGCAGTGCATGCATGAGGTGCATTATACACGCAGACAAAACCCATACACATAAAAATAAAGGAAAGACCCCATATCCATTTTTCAGTCTGTATTATGAAAATGTACTATTTCCTTACGTTTCCAAATGTAAAACTATGTATTCCCTTTGATGCTGTGACCATTTGCTTCTCTCAAATGGAAAAATATCATTAACCTATTGCATTAGATTTTTTCTTCCCTTATCAAATGTTTTTCAAATTTTGAACCTTAGTTCATACATTTTTAAAAACATAAGAGGAACATCAACACCAGATAAGAGAGGAATGCAAATCACATGGCTCACAGGAGCCCTTCAACTTAATATTCTTATATTTAGGCTTAGATTTATTCTGTTTTCCCAACTCTTATTCTTATTTTTATTATGACCTCATTTTAACTTCTTCCAAAAGCCATTTCAAATTTTGGGTGAAACTAAATGGATAAAAATGTAAATGCTTTAGTACTGTGGCAATAATTGATATATTAACATATGTTACTAGCATTCCATCATACTAACCCAAGAATTTATCAAGATATTAAAAATTGTTTTTATATTTGTATGTGTCTGTATGCACATGCACACATGCCACAGCATAGGGGTAGAGGTCAAATGACAACTTGCATGGATCTTACCAACATATTTTTCATATTACCTTCTATGAAGTCATTTTCATTAAATATCAGTTTCTCTCCAAGAGGACCCTCCTCATCTTCCTGCTCATCATCTTCATCAGGATTATTAATGACCTCCAAGCCAGCTTCAATAACTTCTACCAATTCATCTCGTTTGTCTTTCCTAACTGGCTTTTCTTCAGGATGGCGAGTGAGACCCATTTCCAACTGAAATACTTTCATTAAAGTAAAGCTTTCAAAGGGAACGACTCCATACTCACTGGGTAGTTTGGCTCCTACGCTAACTTCAGCTCTGTCGATCTGAGAATGAAGAAACTCTAAGAGATCACTAGGTGTCTGCTCTCTGTTGCCTTGATAGCCTATGCTGTTAGCCCCTATATTCTTTTTCTCTTGCAATGATCTCATCTTCTCACTCATTTCTTGTAATTCTTGCTTTAGCTGGGCAATTTGGCGTTTCAGACTGGTTGCCCTGGTTTGGTAATGTTCTTCTTGCTCCTGCAGGAGGGCCTGGTAATATTCTTTACCATAATTTTCTCTAACAACACCAGGAAGAGATGCATTTCCATCAGTCTGAGGGGCACATTCCAGGAGGTACATAAATAATACTAAACTGAAGAGCAAAGCAAGGCCCAACAGCAGCCACTGGGTCCGGCTGTGAAGAATCGGTCCTCTTCTAGACATTCTTAATACTGTGTGTTTGCCCAACAAGACAAGCTCTTGGCTTGTTCATAACTTTAGCAAAAAATTATCAAAAATTAAAAACAAGATTAGGATTTCCATAAAAGGTACCCAAATGAACTCTGCTGTAGTTTAAAAAGATTCTTTCTTCAGTAGTCATGACTACTTGCAGAAGTGAGAAATTAAGTATATTTCCTGTATTGTTACCATGACATCCACACTAAGCAATCTGATCTATAAAGTCCATTAAATGGGTGGTGACTTTTCTGAAAGAAACAGATCAGAGTCAATCAGAATTTTGTTTCTTTAAGTATATCAAATTGCTGGCAGCTATGTTACTACCATATGTAGAGGTCCAGGAAGGTGCTAATACAGTTTAGAGTAAATTGGTAAGCACTGGGAGAAAATAGAAAAATACCATAAAAGATACTAAAATACTGTGTATAAAACTTTAAAACCATTTGTTTATACTCTCATTACTTCCTGGATCAAAGAAACATCAAAATTATGTTCAGCTTTTTTACACAGATTCTAATGAGATCATTTTAAAATCATGTTCCTTATAACTCTTTATTAACACACCACTTTCCAACTAGAGCATGTAATGTGTGGGAACTGGATTTCTGGACGTAGTTTTTATTACAGCAATAATGATTTACTGCAAGAGAAAGCTCCTCCAGTTATACTATACTCACTATAGCTCACTAGTTTCTATCGCTCAACTCAACCAATCTAGGAAGCCTAAAACATCAAGTGGAGTGGGTACAATTTCAAAAGGTCACAGACATCTGGAAAACACATTAAAACATTTTTATATCCAAAAGTCCTCTGGTAGATTACTTGAGCATTAGATCATTTTCCATTGTATGACACAGCAAAAGATTCCTTACAATTCTTGAAGATTTGGAGTTGATATAAAGAAAAAACACAAATGATTTAATTATGTTTGTATGCTTTGAGAAAAACAGTAAATTTACAAAAGTACATGCTACCTTTCATGCTCCAACCAGCTGTGTGAACTCTTCCAGAATAATTCTAAATCAAGGATTACTGACTCTAGAAATAGAAGAGATTAAACTCAGACAAGGGAGGCAAGAAGTCCTCTGCTGCAAACAGAACTTCCATCCAACCAAGTGTTCTAAGCAGGATAATGTGACATGAGAAGGGATGTTTCGCAGGAATGCTTTCTCCAGGTCAGCACAGCCCTGGAAGCTGAGCAGTAGGGACACCAGTCCTAGGTACTTGCTTTCTTAGTCACTAGGAAAACTTGGGTGCCTGCTGCAAAAATTCTGCATTGTATATATTTTGTAGATATTTGTATTAAAATGTAGGCAAGATTAAAACTTTTTATGATAGTGGACCACAAATAATAGGCTTAACTTCCCTAAGCCATTTGTTACCTTAGCAAACTAAGAGACAACCAAGTATCCTGAAAATTTTAATTCACTGTGTCTTTTATATGACAATATCTTTTACTATGACAATATTTACAAAATAGTTGTAAATATTGTTTAAATGTTAGAGAAAAATAAGGGAAATTTTAAATTTTAACAAACTAATTAAAAGACAATGCAAAGCTAACACTAGTTCTAAGAATTTACCATTCCTTAGAAACATAATCATGAACAAAAGAGCCACTTGAATGCCGTTATTGAAAAAATAAACTGAGAGGAATTTCTTTACTATGTGCAAGTTATTACTAGCCTACTTGTTAGGGGAAAAGGCTACACTTGAAAGTATAGAAATAAAATTTCATAAACTGTTAATAAACCCAGTGGTGGTGGCATACACCTTTAATCCCAGGACTCAGGAGGCAGAGGCAGGTGGATTGCTGTGAGTTCAAGGCCAGCCTGGTCTACATAGTGAGTTCCAGGATAACCAGGGCTACACAGTGAGACTCTACAAAATAACATCAACAACAAAAACTGTTAATAAAGATAGACACACTTAACCAGAATATACTCAAATGATTTTGAGGTAAAACTTGATCATAAAGTAATATATGCTCTATGTACCATATCTTTTTATTAATAGGTCACCTCATAGTCTTTTCCTTTATTTTACATTTTATACAATTCATAATGGGTCACCACTAAAGGTTTATTTTTCAGTGAAAGAGAAAACATGTGTAGCAGTAAGTTTTGCATTGTGATTAAATGTGTGTGTATATATGTATACATATATGTGTGTATATATATATGAGACTTCATTATAATATAGTAATAATTGGGTTGTGATTAAAAAATCCTAAAAGCCACTAGTTTAAGACCCACTTTTCACATATTCCATACAATATATGAAATATCCTTTCAGAATAGTGCTACTATTAGCTTCTTTTTATAAAAGAAAAATTGTTCAGAAATAAAGAGATTTAAATAAGGCTATTTAACCACTAAATGGAAGCATTAAAACTTGGGTGTTGTTTCTCCATTTTAATAAAACTATAGGTTTTATAATATCTACGTGGTAATGCTGCAGTTGATTGCTTTCCACTGCAATGAAAGAAAGGCTGCTACAATTAATTAGAGTATACTTGCGTATCTCTATAGTAGTTGTTACATCCTACTTGCCTAGTTCCTAAAAGGAACTCTGACCACATACCACAAGACCAGATTATAACTGTAACAAGCTACTAAGAATCTTAGAAGAACTAGAGATATAGTTCAGTGGTGGAGTATTTGCAAGCATGCTTGAGGTCCTAGGTTCCACCACACGCACACATGCGTACACACGTGCGCACACACACACAACTCCTCCACCCCCACCCCTGTATGCACACATACATGCTGCACACACATTATGATTTCACACATGCACCCCTTTCTGCTATTACATCTTGATTCCATCTTCTGTGCACTGTCTATATGTTATATATATGACATTCACTCACGGTTTGGAGCTAATTCAACCAACCTCTAAACCCAGTGAAGGGTCTGAAGAGATAAAAAAAAATACTATAGTGACAGGAAAACGAGATAGTAAAGGTAAATAAGACAAAATCAAGTATTTTTAGAGTTAGTTGAAAGAAGTTTTGAAAGTAATCAATCCTAACTCAAAAACAGATTGAGAGACTTCATCCTAAGATGGAATAATAGGGACCAGATTTACCTCTATTTTTGAAATAACCAAAATCACATGAAACAGCAGTTTTCCAGATGTTGAACATCAGGAAATGAAGAGTAGTGATCCTTGGAGAAATGAGAAACAAGTGATTACTTGTTTCTTACTGAAACTGTTTCTGATAATAAATATGTATGTGTGTATACTAAGGAAGGCCAGCCTAAGCAAAGCCCAGCAGATTTCCTGAGTTGACAGGATGGACCCGATAGTCTGAAAAGTTCAAGGCAGTAAGGGTTCAAAACAACTCCAGAGACCGAAAGAGGGTATCTTTTGGGTATTCCGCAGAGTGCTTGCTCGTTAGTGTAGGCTTATAAAGAAATAAACCAAGGAAGAGACTATAAAAAACCAGAGGACACAAATCCCAACATTTAAATAGGACCAGGAATAGTATATGCTCCTAGCAGATAGACTGGAAAACTTTAACCTCATGAGGCATTGGGCATTCAAAAAAGTCTTGGCTTAGTAGAGGAATATAACCAACTTATAAACATTCATCTAACTCCTGCCAACAAATATTAAAAGCAAAACCTGAAAGAATTAAATTGTTTCCATATGATGTCATAATTTTCAAGAACATTTATAGGAATATAAAATATTTAGCATACAAGAAAATAGAATTTACAATATCTGACACTCACATAAAAGTTATTCTACTTTAAAAGTGACTATACAAAAAAATGCATAATACATATGGAGCAAAGAAAGGAGTGCAGTCTGTGCAGCTGAGGAACCAGGTTCTGTTCACAGCACCTGCACAGAGGCTTACAACCAGCTGGAACTGCCCACCTAGAGGATCTGTCACCCTTCCTGGCCTCCTCTGGTATTGAAGGGCACTAGCCCTCTCAAGAGCATGGCTCTGGCAGGTCTTGCCCTACTCCCCCAATCCCTTTGCCTTGCTAAAAACCATTTGATTACATTCCTAAAGCTAGTCCCCATGGTCTATTCCCTTATTTGGCCACTTCTTCCTCCTGAGGCAGACTACCAAGGGCCAGCAATCAAAGTACTGAAATTCAGCCATCAAACGCCCCCTTTGGCTTGCCCAATTAAAATTAAGCAAGCTCATCCTAACATAGGGCTTCCCCTTGTACCTTTATAAACTGCCATTTTCCTTCCAGCTACTGCACACATGTGGTACACAAACATATGCAGACACAACATTCAAACACGAAAATAAAAATTAATAAAATCTCTAAAAAAAATTAATGAAACAAAATGAACTCTTGGAAGCAATACAAGTGAGAAAAAGTGGAATTACCTTCTAAATACTCAGAGGAGCTAGGGAGCTAACTCAGCAGTTAAGAGCACTTGCTGCTCTTACAGAGAACATAGTTCTGTTCCCAGCACCTATTCTGTGGCTCACAACCACCTATAATTCCAGTTCCAAGAGATCTATGCCCTCTTCTGACCTCTGAGGACATCACACACACACACACACACACACACACACACACACACACACACACACGGTACAATACTACATGCAGGTAAAACATTCACACATATAAAATATAGTCTATAAACACTTTAAATACTTAAAAAAATGGACAAACTAGAATTCTATGCCCAGCAAAACCAACTTTGGACAGGGTTCAGTACAGTTCTCCACTCTACCAACTGAGGAGTCATCAGAATAATTTTTGAAAAACAAAGGCAAAATACTTTTATTTGGACATAAAAATAACCTGAAAGAATTCATCACTTGTACTACAAAAAGGAAAACAGATCTATAAAAAGCAATGTAAAGCACTGGTACTGTTAACTACATTGGTAACTGGCTTCTTACTGTACGTTTTAAAAGGCATTTTTTTTGTTTTTTGTTTTTGTTTTGTTTGTTTGTTTTTTGTTTTAGATAGTCTTTCTACACAGCACAGTTGTCCTTGAACTCACTATGTAGACCAGGCTGACCTCAAACTCAAATGGCAATCCCCCAGTCTCGGCCTCACAAGTGCTGAAGTATACATGCCTAAAACACCAGTTTTTTTTTTCTTCATTTTGGTTTTTTGAGACAGGGTTTGCTTTGGAGCCTTTCCTGTAACTAGTTCTTGTAGACAGTGGTGGCCTCGAACTCAGAGATCCGCCTGCCTCTGCCACCCATGCTGGGATTAAAGGCGTGCGCTAGCACACCCGGCTTAGAACCACTGATTTCTTAAGTACCTACAAATGTTAAGTGTTTCGAAACAAAGGGATTGATCATCAGAAAGCAGCGCGCTCCCAAAAATCCTTGAGAGCACCTCCTGTGTGCCAAGTTCTGTGCTGAGTACCAAGGGCAACACCAAATGGATCCTTCAATAAGGTGCTTCTGGAGAAAACTATACTCACAGCACTTAAATGCAGGCCAAACAATGGCACAAAATGGGCCAGTCTGTGGCAGAATAAAAACAAGTTCAAGAATACAGTCAACTATTTAACAATTATAAAATCTTGGGCATAATATTTAATCTTTTTGGACTTCTTCTATAAAATGAGGCAGTTTTTCTGGACAGTTATTATTTTTATTTATTACTTTTAATAATAATGTGTGTGTGTGTGTAAATGTAGGTGCCCCTGAAGTAAGAGGTACCAGATTCCCTGGAAATGGAATTTCAAGCATTTATGAACTACCTAATGTGGTGACGGGAACCAAATTCAAGTCCTCTGCAAGAGTAGGATGCAGTTTTAATCACTGAGCCATCTCTCTAGCCAATTTTCCTTCTAAGCTGTTATGATTTCCTTCATTAAGATAAACTAAATATATATGTGTGCATGCACATGCACCCCTTTTGTGGAACCGACTTAATTAAAATGCATTCACTTTCAGTAATCTGTAATTCTTCCTTTAAGATTTTCACTACACAATTATCAATATTA